ACCCTATTCACAGTACAGTTCATGGTTGTCTGAAGTGGTGGGATGTCACCTCAAATGCCAATATACCTTGGCACCCGGGACAGAACGGTAAAGGGCGTCATCAGACTTACACTGTGGCTAGAAACATTACAATGCTTTGCATGTTTTCGGCATCCTCCTCTTTCTCCGCCTCAACCTCCTGCTGCCGATGCTTCTTCCTAGCAGTTCTGACAGAGAGAGAAAGAGAGGGATAAAGGACAGGGCGGTACCAGTGCGCAGGGGGGGGGGGGGAGAGAGAGAGAGAGAGAGAGAGAGAGAGAGAGAGAGAGAGAGAGAGAGCATGCATACGATAATGGTCGTACCAACAGGGTGCAGCGTACAATATGTCAGTTCCACTTATTCTTTATGTTTTCTTTTTTGTTTAGGGTATATTTTGTTTACCAGCGAAGCCGCGGCGGGTCATCTAGTCTCCCCATAGTTCTGTCTGACACAGGCAGAACTGTTCTTGTCCTTGTTGGTAACTGATTTGCGGCCAATGCCATGAACGGTGCTTTGATGTATGCGCATTTTCTGTTTCGCATCCTGAAGCGCCTGGTTTGGGCTGCCAAAGGTGGCTGAACGTATTGCCGGCCAAGATCGCCTGGCCAGTCGTTCTGTGCCAGTGTGACCGACCTTGATTATGGATGTGAACGTGGCATGGTCATGCTTCATGTGGAGAAATGGAGAAAAGGAGTGCCGCTGTCACCGAGATGATTATCAGCATTGCTTCTGAGCTTGAATGGGTTAATCGTGGGAGCTTACCTCTGTCAAAAAACACACAGAAAAAAAGGAAAAGGGAAAACGATTACGAATTTACGGGCATGTTCACTCTAGGATTTCCCTGGACTCGTGTAGCCATAAGGAGGAAAAGCATTGTCTGTTGGAATCGCCCTACCGTCTTGACCTGAATAGAATGCCTGGTCATTATAGCCATTTTGCAAAACCGGTTTGATTCAGAGTTTGGGCAAGTATGGGGCACCCCCGCCGGATAATGTTGATGTATCCAGAGCCTCCTCTTGCAAGCTACCTCATTGCATGACCGCGAGCGTATCACGCCTGAAGCCACTATGAGCGTTACCTGCTGGCACCTACATTCTTTGAGCTTGCTTTTTATAACACTTATGGTTGTCGTCGCACTGATCATGCGTGTCTGCGCCGTGGAATCTGTGTTAGTGTGTATGTGCACGCGGGTTGTGGCTTTTCCGATGAAGAACCTCACAATGATTATAATAAGCCTGTGCGATGGTCCGATGGTTGTATTTTTTTAATTATTTTTTTTCTTTGGGATGATGGTCGTATTTCAGGTATACGGGGAACATGTTTGTTTGCATAAATCATAAATGTTTTCGAACTGACAATATCTTTGCATTTGTTATTGTGCCCATGGGTTTGAACTTCGAACACCTTATACAGGTTGCGATACCGATTGTCCCAACAATTCGGGTTGTTGTTACATTTGCGAAGTTTGTAGACGAGTCAGTGATCAAGGCTCGTTTGGAAGGAAAGAGCGGTTTGAGCACGCCAATCGGCAAGGCAAAGAAAGCCGCTGCAGAAATTTCGACCCCTGCAGCAAGTAGCTCCTCATCAGGCTCTTCTTCCTCGTGGCTATCGTGGCTGAGGACGGCAACCAGTAGCAGTCATTCATCAGGCTCGCCAACTGCCAATGGGAAGGCAGAAGATGCGGACCAGGGCATACACCTGGACGAGGATGTGTTCAAGATACCAACAGAGTATAAATGGATTGATTTACCGGAGCGCAGGAGGCGGCAGGAAAAGAGGAAGAAGGCAAGTAAGAAGAGCAAGGACAAGAAAGAGAGTGGGAAAGAAAGATGGGAGTGATTTGAGGTGAGAGCTTCTGCGAGAGAGAATGAAATGGTTTCAAAACGAATCGAAAGGACGTTCAACCGCGGGTTGGTGAATGCTGTGCTGCAAGGTATTGCTGCCGGTGGAGTATGCGAATGCAAAGCACTTCGATGTTGGTGGACTTATGGGAGAGTCCCAAGAGATGGAGTCTGATTTTGTGAGATGGTTCTCCCGCAGGTGCGTGACCTTATATATGCATTAATGGGTGGTCCTGTCTTTAAGTAAAGGGGCTGCGTCGTGTCGTCGGAATGGTATAGCACCAGCCAAATGGTTGCTTTTCTTGAGGTGGGGTGTTGGAAACACTTGAGTTGGTATAGCAGATTGTGGATTTGAACGGTAAGTTGAATCGCTGGGTATGTTGGGGGTTGGGGGGGGGGGGGGAGAGAGAGAGAGAGAGAGAGAGATGTAGAACTGATACATGTTTTTTTCATAGAGAAACAGGTTCCCAGGACAGCACTGAAACCCTTGTTGTTGTTCAGTACCACAAATGCTGCTTTCTATAGTTTCCTTGACATCATTACCTCGTTCCGCTGTCATTTTGTTGTTCTTTAGTTGTTACAAGGATAGTCGTTGGGGAAAAGCAGGGTTTTCACACCCCTTTCCTTTTTGTTTTCTTTTTTGGGTTCTACCCATCCCTCTTCTTACTTACCGAGCTCAAATTGTGCTGGGCAGATCCCGTTGTGAGTTGGTTGTTGGTGAATGACAGGATTCATCATACACAACTGTTTCTCATTTGAAGGCCCAAAGGTGGCACAGCCTGATGGCAGGAAAGTTCAGTATGCCGCAATAGAACATTCAGAGGAAGCTTCGTACCCCTTGCGATGAGGGAGTGGTCAGATGTATAAATGCAGACAGCAATGGAGCACTTGGGGCATGGCAAGATACCACAGGGTTTTGAAGAGAGAGAGGAAGAGAGAGAGAGAGAGAGAGAGAGAGAGAGAGAGAGAGAGAGAGAGAGAGAGAGAGAGAGAGAGGGAATGTAAGTTTGTGTATTCATCGACGACAAAATTCTTTTGATGCTTTGTAGAGAGAAGCTTCTGCATAGAGAGAGCTTCGATCGGAGGGGAGGGCAATCTGAGGCTGGTCTTGTTCAAGAATGACGTAGAAAGGGGGATTCTCCTGAGTTTTATTGAGAATCGAAATCCGGATCCAGAATGATTGCGACATTTTGGTTCCTGGGAATCGTGCGTGTTTTTTGTCTTGGGCTGAATCCATCCTTCTGGAGGTGGGGCTGAAAAAAGAAGAGTTTTGTGCCTCGACTGTGGAGTTGCCCAGAGCTTTTGACGTAGAAAGGGCTCCCCACTCAAGAGGGGGTAATCCGAGGCTCTGATGCCACGGAGGAAGTTTTACGCGGGGGCTGGCGTTGACCTGTCAGGCATAGTGGGCACTGAGAAGGGCCTTTTGTGGCCGCTAGCTGAATCTATATCCTTTTGGTGTATGGGGGTGAGAAAGAGAAGCAGGGACTGGTCTCCTTGATTGTAGTAGGAGCAAACTTGGCCTATGCGGAAAACAGCAACGGGCTGGGGGGGGGTTGAGGCGCCGTTGATCTGTGACTCAAGATCTTCTAAGGCCCAGCCCACCTTGTTTGTGAGAGCCATGATGTTTCTCGTCGCAGGAAGAGTGCTTCGAATGAAATTGAGTTTTTCTTCCGTGTGTCGGCTCTTTGTGACACTGGCCGGTAAATGGTTGTTCTTGGCTGTTAGTTCGTTCCCTTTTTTTTTCTTTTTTTTTTTTGATTTCTTTTTTCTTGTGCTACTTGGTCATTTGCGTTGCATCACTTCTGTCAAAACCTGTTGATGCGTCTGCCGTGGATCCCTCAATATGTTTGCTGATGGCGTGAAGTCTCTCTGGCCGATGTCATGAAGTCTCTGTGGCTGATCGCATGAAGTCTATGTGGCTGTGTTGTCCTTTGTACCATAGGGATATGCCAACAGCAAGGCAGGTTTGCTCTTCATCATTCATCCACTCACTCAAGTGATACATAATTAGCAAACCGGTGTTTCGTGCCCATTGTATAGGGTGTCTACAGGGTCAGGTAAAAAATTTGTAGGCTTAATTAGGAAATATCTACCTCTCAATACGTTTAGAGTCTTTGGACGGTAAGTGCCGGTGCTGTAGTGTTTGTTTTATGACAGTGTCCGAGCGGATATAGGACGTGTCCGTGGTCGTTTGTGCTCCCTTTAGGTTTCTTTGGGGCTTTTCAGGCCTTGGCAACCTTGTAGACTGGATCATCCATGGTCTGAAAGAGTCGTGAGTCCATGCGAGCGAGTCTCGCAAGTGAAGCAGGGAAGTTTGCTCTTCATCATTTATCCACTCATTCAAAGTGAGACTGACGGTGCTTAAAAGTCGCATTTCCTTGCCCTACGTATACGGGGTCTCTATACAGACAGGGTCAAGTAGAGCATCTGTAGGCTTAAGTAGAGTCCTTGGACACTTGGTAGTGTGCTGTGGTGGTGGGTTTATGCTAGTGTCGGAGCGACGTAGGACATGTCCGTCGTCAGGTGTTTCCTTCAGCTTTCCTTGAGGGTTTTCGGGCTTTTGCAGCCTTGCAGTTTTGGATCCTCTATGGTCTGAAAGAGAAGAGACTGAATGCATGCGAATCTGGCAAGTGTGCGTAGACTTCGATATATTTGTACCTTTGCTTCGTTGCTTGCTTGGTTCCTTTGCGGCTTTGCCCCCAGAGCAGTCAATCCTTTGCGGTTTTTCCGTTTCCGCTTCTGCACTCAGACAAAAAGAAATGCGGACGGGAGGAATCGAAAGCTGGGGTTGGTGTTGGAGAGGGGGAAAGCTATGATGTGGAATCGTTGCTGATGTTGTATCTCTGCATCTGACGGCCGTTGGCCTGAAGAGATATATAGTGAAACAAATAAACTATCTTTTTCTTCGGAAGAGATATATAGTGAAAGAAATAAACTATCTTTTCCTTTGGATGTGGTTGGCACATGAATGGAGAGCCACTAACTAGTCTTTAAACCCTTGCTAACCGCCTCTGCAGGGAAAAGCTTGAGTGATTGGTTGACTGTTGGTTTGTGTCCTTTATTCAGGCGGACTTACTTAGTCAGGGCTTGTCAAGAAACAGAGCCAGAAGTAAGAGAAAGGTATGGCATCCTTTCTTCTCACCGTTTACTTTCTTCCTTATCTTACATATACTGGACCTTGAGCTTAACCTCGCCTCTCCTCTCCTCTAAACCCCGAGTTAAAATTTTCTATTTCTGGAATGTCATAGTTACCTAGTCAGGGTAGATCAACAAACAGAGCCAGAAGTAAAAAGAGAAAGGTATGACTTCCTTTCTCTTTACCCTAAAGTAATCTCACCTTTTACTGTCTTCTTTAACGTAAATACGCTAAGCCTTGAGCTTAACCTCACCTCACCTCTCCTGTAAACCCTCAGTTAAAATTTTATATCTCTGGATACCGTATTATTGCAACTCTGCTTACCTCCTTGTCACCACAGGTATTGTTTTTTTCTTCGTTCTTTAACCGTAGGTATTGTTCCTCCTGCTTCACATACTTTTTTGGAATCGATCATAATCATTGCATCCTTCGGATCTATCCAGGACCATGTTCCTCTCCGTCTACCACTGATGCGACTTTTGATGCTAGTGCTGCTGGTGCTGCTGCTCCTCCCCCGGTAATCAATAGAACCCTAGGCTATTTGCCTGCCTGTCCCGGCGTGCCCGGGCACGAGTGCCCGAACCAGCACAGGGCCCAGGGTTCACCCACGGAACCCTGGCAGACCAGAAAGTGGCCTCAATTTTTTGTTCTTTTTGTTTGGAGGGCAATATAGCCGTTCTGCGCTCGTTGGGAGCATGCAGAATCCGCCCTCGGACTATAAAAAGCAGTGACTGCCCTTCCTAGGGTGCTGTGGGATGGGAGGGGGAGGTATTTTCGCCGCAGTACATTGCCCGCAGTGCTGCACTGCCTGCATGTGGGAGAAGGAAGGAGATAGTAGCAGGAGGTTGAAGGAGATGGCACGAGGGGAGCAAGGAGATGGCAGAGGAGGAGAAGGGACTAGGAGGTAGCAAGCGGGGTGGGGACGCACCTGAACGGCTGTGTAGCCTTGGATAGAATCCTTATAATCATCAATCATAATGATCATAATGAACGGCAGTTGTCATGAACATCGTCATCCTCAATCATCATCATCAATCATCGTCAATATCTACATCATCATCATTATCATTATCATCACCACCAACGTCAGTGTGTCTTTTCCCTCCTCCTCAATGTCCTGATTGTCGTCATTCTAGTCCCCGGTATGTGAATAAACTGCTTTGTTATGCTCCCACACTGGCTGACAGTTCTGTTTTTGGTACCTGAAGCCCCTGCACAAAATGATGGGAGGAACTGCATTCCTACACGCCCCATATCTATGGTTAGTATGGTATGGTAGGCTCAAGGGCCCATTGACGGTGTGCAATTCGATTTCTGATTCCAACCCCCACGGGGGTTGCGGGCACAAGATTCACAAGGTATGAAATCTGGTTGTTGGGTTGGATTGCCGGTTACTTTGTTATGTGGTTCCACTGTGTTTTCTTTATTTGTTTCGTCATCCGTTAAGGTCGGGGTTGTTTGTGTTAAATCACCCCCTGTACCTGAAGTTCCTTTTGTTAAACTTTTCTTGACCCTGGAGTTGCTAACCTTCCGCATTTTTGGCAGCTTTCTTTTTAATTGGTCGTGTTCCATCTGGATCTGAAGTCTGGTATTTAGTGCAACAGTTCATTGGTGTACCAACTGAGCCAGGCTCCTTGGTGGTGTGGCCACATTCTGATGTTTTCTGTTTGGCGAGACCTTCCAGACAGGATGGCACTCCCATCGCTGCAGAATTTTCCGCTTTCTTTTCCAGGGCCATGTGCTGCGAGCGCTCTTCCCTGTGCCCCCCTTTGTACAGCAGGGCAGCCTCCGCAGATGGTCAGGGGCAGAGAGACGGTTAACGGAGGCCTCAATTTGCGGACCACTTGTCAGGCCATTTATAACAAAACCCAAGGGTCATTTTAACCAAACTTACCACCAATTCATAGAGTGGAGATCATACTAACTACTTGCAAAAAAAAAAAAAAAAGAAAAAAAAACTTTAAAAACCTATAAAACAGCAAGGCAAAAGTGTGTTTTCATGCAAAATTCACTCTTTTCAGTTTTCAGGATTTTCAGGATTTCTCAGGAGGGCTAGCCAAAACAGTCAACTCCAAGACCCCAACAAACACCAAACTTAAACTTCGCACACACAGACCTTGACCGAACATAAAACAGGGCAAAAAAAAAAAACATAAAAAACTATAAAAAAAAAATCTCCAATGCACTTTTCAGGGTTGAGGGGGTTAACCAGGGCGGAAAAGTGGCCGGTCCCTGTTAATCGCTTATGCCAGGGGCAGTGTGAGTTTAACAGTCCACTTTCCCGTGTGTGCTCTCGAGACCTGGGTCCTCGATGGGGGTGGCCTGTGGGACGGGCGAGGCTTTTCCAAGCCATAATTCGAGAGGTGGTTTTGTTTTTTGCACGGTGCAGCCTGTGGGCCGGGCAGGGCGTTTCAATGGTGCACCGGGAAGGTGCCGCGGCAGAACAACGCGAGAGGGTACACAAACACACACACACGTGGGCACCGCGTGAGAGCACACACACACATCAATGTTGGACAATGAGGACGACTATCATGACGGCGGTGACAGTGACATGGTCAACGATGGAGGATGCGGGACGAGGAGGGAGGGAGGACGACGACAATGAGGACAATGCAGTATGGAGGATGGAGGCAAAGTAGCAAGGTGGAGAAGGATTACGATAACGAGGATGATGTAGGGAGGAGGGAGGATGACCATGATGATGGGCAGAGGAGGGAGGGTGGAGGGGAGGAGGAGGGAGGAGGGAGGGAAAGCCGTAAAGAGTGAGACCTGTGGGTTGGGCGGGGCTTTTCCACGGTGAAAGTGACGACTACGATGACAACGGGGATGACTATGACGATGTGGATGACGTTGATGGCAATGGTGACTAGGTGGACGATGGAGGAGGAGGAGGAACGGGGAAGGAGGAGGAGGAGGAAGAACTGGGAAGGAGGAGGAGGAGGACTACAACCATATACGCAGAAGGAGCAAGGAGGAGGAAGGACGACAACAATGACGGAGGGCGAATGGAGGGAAGAGGACGACCAAGGATGGAGGTAGGATTCAGGGAGGAGGCTGAGGGAGGAGGATGGCGGGAGGACGACAGGGAAGAGAACAGGATGGATGGAGGAAGAAGTCTACTGGGGAGGCGGCACGGCGCACTGCCACAGGTGGAGAGTGCTCTAACCAATTCCGTTGATGTCGATGTGTCCATCAACGGTTGTCGAGTGCACTCAATCTTGAGATATGACATTCTTCCTGGGGAGCAGGCTGGTGGGAGACGGGTGGTGCTTCCTGAAAGGCCATGAATGAGGCACACACTTAGCGCAATATACACACACACACAGGTGACAACAGTGACTGCGGTCACGAGGACACAGACCGTGACAATTACGACCACGAGCTCTTCTCTCTCACCATCAGACACGCACAGACAGAGTTGACAATGGCATCAACTGTGCGGAGGATCATGATGGTAATAATTTCACTGATGAGACCATGCTGAGACTGACTCTCTCACGCATACACACGCACACACACACCTGGGCACCGTCCCACCCCTCGTCCTCCAAAGCGTTCGTCCTCCGGGATATTTTAGTGATGCTGATTCGTTGCTGAAATCTGTGTGTGTGTGTGTGTGTGTGTGTGTGTGTGTGTGTGTGTGTTTGTTTGTGTGGGCCTCGTCATTGATCGGATTCCCACTTGGAGATGTTGCCAAGACGATTGGAGGGAATTTAACATCTCTCTCTCTCTCTCTCTCTCTCTCTCTCTCTCTCTCTCTCTCTCTCTCTCTCTCTCTCTCTCT